CTTTGTGGGTTTATTCTCTTTTTTGGGTTTTCCACATAAGAAATTTTTGTGCCTCTACCAATCACTTTTATTATCTTAGTGTATGTTAAATTCTTATGCAACACAAAGACGATAATGCATTACTCCATTGCCGCGAATTTCTTAACACACATCAGTTTGACACTGTATGTGGCAAAGTTAATCCCACAGCTAAAGAACTTGCGAACCTAATAAATGTCCACCACACACAATACACACAACAACAACGCGTCCGCTTCAATACCTATAATTCCATGGAACAGTCATAAAGCCAAGGGCCCACAAAGTTAAATGAAGGTTACTTACCACCAATTCAACAACCAACGAGAAATGTCTTGCTTGAATATACTCGTATTGGGCCCCCTTCCCATGATTCCTCTACCAGGCTCACTTGGCCTTGCCCTGTCTCACTTTCTCTTCTGATGATGTCATCCGTGTTGAGCTACGACGCTGTTGACCTCAATTTTGGTTGAGGTTTAGTTCCTCCTCTTTAATAACCTAGGGTCTAGCCATAGGACTTTTCCTGTTGACTATTCCTAGAAAACTAGGCATGGAACCCTCACCACTAGAAATTCCAAACTTTTCTTTACTCAGCTTGAAGTTCCACATGTTGCTCTCAACCTCTAAATACTTAGTAGGTGGGGTCACTGTGGGGGAAACTCAAGATGAGTCACCCTTAGGATTGTTGGACCTTAGGGTTGATCTTGGGTGTTGGTCTGGAGCTAAGGCACTCACTACACTTATCTGTACCCACAACACTCACAACCCTGAACTCAAATTTCTAGCCTAGATCCCTTGATCTTTTGGGATACTCATGTAGATGGTCCCCTAAACCTACTAGCCCTAGGGCTATGGTTTGGCTAAGACCACTATGTAGAGGACCCAAAATGGGGTTCTCATTGGTTCATGGCTTATTGGTGATGCTTGGTACCTCAAATCTACCAAAATACTCATCTTGACCTTTTACCCCTAAAGCACCCCCAAATTACCAAAATACCCCTCTAGGGCTCAGAATCCCAAAAATTCTCATAAAATCCCAATAAATCCCAAA